ACTGGCTGCCTGTTATTTTACTTCTCTCCTAGCAACTTCTAAAATCCAAACTCCAGCTTAGTCTTGAAATCACTGTGAAGTACAAATATTCCAGCCAGCAAATTGTTTTCAAAACATCATTAACTTAAAAAATTTCACAGACACTGCATTTGGGTTGATCCTCTCCCTTCCCTCCTTCCCCCAAACACATGCACACTTGAAGTCCCAAAGTCCAATCTCTTTGACTAGATCATCAGCTGCCACAGGAAGGACATGAAACACAATTAGGCCGTAGACAGAGTTCTACTAGAAATGCAGATCCATACAACAAACAGGTGGGCAAGAGGCTGGGACTAGATCATATGGAAAACAGCTAGGCTGGGGGTCACAGGCTCGTGACCTACAGGCTGGATGCGGCCGGTGGACAAGCTTTATTTGGCTCTGACAATGTTCAGAAAGCATTTTAATTAGCTGCCAAAGTCCTGAGATTTCTGAGTTTTGTTGAAAAACAGGGAGTCTGGCAGCATTGGTCCTCACTTCCACCTGGCAACCACCAAGTGCCGTTATGGCCCGGATGCCCTGTGGAAAAGGCCCTCCATTTTCCCACAGTCTCCACTGCTTCTTCCTGCCCCACCCCTAACCCCGCTCCACCCCTGTAGGCTGTGTGTCACCAGTTCTTGTACAAGAACCCCAGTGAGGTTCTATAAGGCCAACTTACAACTTCTAGGAGCCTAGAAAGTGAGATGCTCAGGTTGGGGATGTTTCCAAACCTGTAGGCCTCTCTGGGAGACACTGGCAAGCCCAGTCCATGTGACTTGTGTGTTCAGGGTGCTCCAGCCCACTTTCAGCTGCCAGTGTCTGCACCTCTGCACCTGAGGGCATGTTTTCCAGAACCATGTAGGTTGCTCAGCCTTGCACATGGAAGGGCAGAAGCACTGAATACCCCCAGTGTGACCTGTGACCCTTGGCTGTACCTGTGACCCTTGGAAGTCCCCCAGTTCCCTCACCCTGAGGTATGTATGCCGCACTGTTTCTCAGGGTTGCCCAGCAGGATGAAGCCCCATCACCCACTGTGGTAGCTAGCTTACCAGCTCACTTTGCATTCACTGCCTCCACCTTCCTATACCACTTCTCTACCTCCCTGCCAGTGTTTCCTGCATCTCCCAGATAAACTAATTGCCTTCAGTTCCTTGCCACAGGGTCAGTATCTGGGAGGTCCAAACCAAAAGAGCACCTCACACTCTATAGGAGTTAGGCCAAGGTGTGTGTCCTATTGTTCTCCCTTCCCTCCCAGCAAGACCTCCTTTATAACTCTGTGGCAAACAGATGCATCCCCTTTGTACCCAAAAGTCAGCAGGGAGTCCTCTTGCACCTTGAGGGTTATACTTTCATGCCCATGTCTGTTTCCATGCATGTCACAACAGTCAATACCATGAAGACATACATATGACCCCAGCCACTTCTTTGAGTTTCTCTCCCCAACACTCCCACTCACATGTGGTATTCATGAAGTCCTAACTGACAAGCTTGTAACAGCAGGCAACATCATTCCTAAAATATCCTGATGTCACCCTTCCACCAGGAATGTCATTGGCCCTTTGTTCTACAGGAGCAGCTTCTTTCCATCCTGCTGGGTTCTCTCCTGCCCTTCCCTCCCTTGCTCTCCTCTACACTCTCACCCCTGCCCAGCCCAGTGCCCTCCTTCACCTTCAAATAAACTGACCCACTCCACCTCACCCACCCCAGCTCTACAAGGCAGGCACCAGCTGACAGCTCCTTCAGAGGCTCATCCATATACCTAAAGCATTTATCCAAGGATTCCATCCAATATGGCACAAGCTACTACTGTCATGCATTGTCCTATCTGTGTTCAAACAACTTCTCAGCACCTCTGAAGAGCAGCTGGCACCTTGTACTTTAATTGCTTTCTGACATGCCTTTGGCCCCATTAGGCTGTGAGTTCCCTGGGAGCAGAGACTAGATCTCACTAATCTTTGTGTCTCCTAGGGTCTGGCACAGTCCCTGGCATTTAGCCAGTACTCAATAACTGTCCAAACAAATCCACTGGTGTTTGACAAAGGCAAGAAGAGTCCATGCCCTTAGTGCCAAGAGGCACCACAGCAAGAAATTACAAAGAGGTTTTATGTTAACCCCAGACCTCAGAGCTATACAGCTCCAGGGGCACCTTCACATTATGCTATGTGGAGTTGAGCTCTGAGAGTGTTGTTCACAAGGACCTCAGTGTGAATGGTGACCCTGGGGTTGTGTAGTTATCGAGCTTTCCTTGTTCTTCCTTTTAACCACATACCCCTCTCCTGCCCCAGGAATTCCCTCTGGGGACCCACAGGGGACCCCAGGAATAGTCACACTCTGGTAAGGCTTTGCGAAGGGACTCCCTGGGTTCTTTGCCTGGCAGGAAACATGGTGCACCGGGCCTCTCCCCTGTGGAAACCTAGCTGCTGGTCATTATACTTTGAGCTCATTATACTTTGAGCTCATTATACTTTGACAATACATGTCAGTCAGTCAGCAGGGCAGCCACTGACAAATTAAGCCCTTTTACAGTGATCTCAAGTTAGCTTTATTTAGGAGAGAGAAAAGTCAGCTGATGGTCATCCATCTGCACCCTACATTTTTATAAGCAGCCTTCCTTCAAAGAAAAAAATAACCTAGAGTAAAACTATGGAAGCAGCCTTGCATTAGAAGAGGATAGAAAAATCTATTTTGCCAGGCTTGGTGGCTCAGCCTGTAATCCCGCGCCTTTGGGAGGCTGAGATGAGTGGATTGCCTGAGCCCACGGGTTCGAGACCTGCCTGGGCAGCGAGACCTCATCTCTACAATAAACCAAAAAATCAGCTGGGCATGGTAGTGCATGCCTGTAATTCCGGCTACTTGGAAGGCTGAGGCGGAAGGATTGCCGCAGCCCAACA